GGTCTTCCCCCCCCCATATAGGGTTCATTCAGTCTCACTTGGACAAGCCTTGACAGGAAAGCCCTCAGCAGGAGAGGCCCTGGCTCAAGAACAACCGAGGATGAATGGCAAGAGAGGGGTGTGTGTGTGCGTGTGCGTGTGTGTGTGTTGGGGGGGTTGTTTTACCTCAGCGCTGGCTGGCCGGCCACACTTCACCAACCCGTGCCCTAACCAAGCGGTCCAAGCGGTTTGGGGGGGGGAAGCTTTTTTGCCAACAAGGGCCAACCCTTCCTTGGAGTTCAATGTTTCCTCAGGGGTTGCATGCCAGTGGGGGGGGCACAGCAGCTACCACAACGCCCCCCCCACCGATGCTTAGAGGGAAACAAAGGGAACAAAGAGGGCTGGGAAGCAAGGAGTGCAAGCGAAGGTCTTGACTATCCCATACTTTCTCCCACAGAGAAAGAGCGGCCTCGCCATACAGCACACGCACGCACGCACGCGCACCCCAGGATCCTTTGGTGATCGACTGAATCAGGTTTCCCCCCCCCCCACGGTGAAGCCCGATTTCCCTTCCAAAAACGGTGCAGAGTCTTTTGGGGTGCTTTTAATTCTTTTGTTTTAGTGACTGCAGAGCCCGTGAAGAAAGAAAGAAAGAAGCCCCTTTTCCTTTTACCCAAGAAGGGCCAAGAGGGAGAGGAGGGGACTCAGGCCAGAATCCATGGCAGGCCAGAAGGGGCCTCCTGGCAGAGGGACGCTAGCCACGGACACACACACACACACACCCCGGTGGGCACCAGGACAAAGGGAAGGGAAGGCCTGGGGGGGGGGACGGAAGGGCCAGGAAGGCTTCCTCTCGCACTTTCTGGTCCCTTGCGCGCCTCCTCCTCCTCCTCCTCCTCCTCCGTTGGCTCTGGGATCTCCGGGAGCCCTTCTTTCTCCACCCCAAACGGGAGGGTCCCGGCTCGGCTGCCTTTCCAGAGCCCAGTCCTGCCTGCAACTCATTAGCCAAGAGGAAGGTGCAAAGGCTCCAAAGTTTGCTTCTGTTGGGGAGGGAGAGGGAGAGGGAGGGAGGATAAGGAGAGGGGGGCACAAGCAGTCCCCACCTGGGGCTGCCAGAGAGGGGGGGGGAGGGAGACTGAGTTTCCTCTTGGGCCCTCCCTGATGTCTGTTTTGGTGGCAGCATGGAAGGGGTCACCCCCCCACCCTGGGGAGACTCTGCAGCTGAGCAACGTGGGGGAGGCAGCGCAGCATCCCATTTCCCCCACATGTCTGGGGAGACTCTGCAGCTGAGCAACGTGGGGAGGCAGCGCAGCATCCCATTTCTCCCACATGTCTTACTGGGTGTGTGTGTGTGTGTGTGTTTGTCACAACAGCTGGAACAGAGAGATGGGAGACAGGTTAGCAGGACATTTTGCCTGGGGGCCTGGCCCATCTATGCCCCCCGTGTCTTCCACATAGGCAGCAGCTAAAAACTGGGCAGCCGTGGTGTGTGGGCAGGTGCGCGCCTGTGTGCGAGCGCTTTTATATTGTTCAAATCACCACTCCAGCAGCCCAGGGGGCACCTCTGCCAGCGCCTGCCTCCCCCGCCCCGAGGGCTTTGAGCAAAGAACAACTTTGGGGGCCAGATTGCGTATCGTATCTCGCTTGAAAAGGCAGCCCCCACTTCTGGCTCAGAG